TGAAACTGTGAAATCCTCATCTGTTAAATGGTAATAATCATGGCACCTACACATTGTAGACTATTTACAAGGATAAAATGTAACAATGCAAAAGAAGGCTTGGCAGAGTGCATGGCATCTAAAGGATGCTCTCACAAATGTCATGGGTGATGCAGGAGGAAGCTAGCTGTTAACACTGCAATGTTCATGTTATGACCTCACTTCTAAGCCCAAACCCCCATTTGCAAAGCTGCTTCTGACTCAAACCAGTATTCCTTCTATTCTCCCAGAGAGAGAGGGAAAAGGGTGACTCATCCCCTGGCAATGGTGGAGCTTCTGGCTGGCCTGCACCAGCTGCAGAGAGGAGAGCCCCAAGGTGAAGGGGAAATACGAGCCCCTGGGGCCCCATTGCTAGGCCACTGCCTTCCCTGGTTCCGAGGGCATCCTGATCATTAGTACCAGCCAGGGAGGCCCCAGTGAAATCGGAGCCCCCGCCTCTGGTAGACGAAGCCAGCAAACCTGTCCCCTTCTGGGCTCAGGTGAGTAAGTTATTCCCCCTATTCTCACACGGGTGAAGGGTAGACAGAGGCACCCAGCCAAGGCTGTACTACACCTGCCCTTCCAGATGCCTAGGACTTTGGCTTGGAGAAGAAGTTAGCCCTGGCTTCCCGGGCTGTGGAAGCAGCACCACTGCAGACCTAGTAACCCATTAGATGTTCAACCCATTTCCTGATTCTCTGCGTGATGGGGCCCCCTCTATGTACTCAGACCCAGGTCTAGAACAATGAGAGGACAGGATACCAATGGAGAAATGGGCCAAATTCACAAGCATGAAATTTCACAAAACAGAACCCCAAATGGCCCATGATCATATTGGGGGGGGAGGGGCATCCCAAGTGATCAAAGAAATGCACATTAAAACAAAAGGGTAAAAGAATTTATTGATGAACAGACTGGTAAAAGTGAAAAACAATTAAATACCAAGAGTTATCTGACTGTGGGGAACCAGGCATTCCCACACAATGTTGGTAAGTGTGTAAATTAGCACAATCCTCCTAGAAGGCACTCCAGAAATGTGTTTACCAACCGCCTGCATAGTTCCTTTGTCAGAGTAATTTCACTTCTAGGAATTTAAATGAACGAAAGAAGACATATGCAGAGACATTCATTTCAGCGTGGCTTACAAGAACAACAACAAAAATTATAAACAAATTAAATGACTAACAACAAAGGGCTGATTAAATACATTTTGGTTCAACCCACAATGAAATACTATATAACCATTCGGATATTAAGACATGAAGTAGAATATTTATTGATGTGGAAAGACAATCACAGCATATTGTTTGGAAGGGGGGGAAAAAAGCAAATTACAACAGTATGATTCCAAGTTACAATGAATATATAATGAAAAACTCCATTTTTGTGTAACAGATATAATCCATAGGAATCGATAGGAAAGAAAAGCCTGGAAGTATACATAAAAATTAACAGTGGTTACCTTTGGGTAAGATTACATACTTTCCATTTTTTCTTTATGCTTGCCAGTATTTCTCTAACAACTCTACTACTAACTATGTTTCAATGATAAGAGATTGGACCACATGATCCGTAAAGTTCCTGCCAACTCTGACATTTGGGGCACCTATGATTGATGTCCCAAGTGACTTCAAACAACCCATATTTAGTGTGGGCTTACTGTGTAGCCTTTGGAGCTCAAGTCATGGCCCACAGCTGTAGCTTTCTTTATTCCTCTCTACCCATGCTTGCTGCCCAGCTGTCCTGAGGGCCAGCCTAGGAGGCTCCCCCCCCATCCCCCCTGTAATTCACCTTCGGACCCCCAGACCAAGAGCTGAGCAAAGGAACTCAGCATGGTGGCAGGTGCCAAGGGGGCACAAAGATAAAAGGCACAACTCTAGTTCTAGAATCCTACTGGGCCACAGGACTCACACAGAAAAACTGCTTTTGCTTGGTTGTATAACACCGACTACAAAAACCAGAAGAGAGAGAGAAAGCAGGGCAAGCCAGGGAAGGAAGGCCTGCTAGAGAAGGCCATGCAGGAACCGTGGGTGAGGGCAATGGAGGCAAGGGGCACAGGCTGGGCAAAGGTGAAGCCAACCCAAAGTCCTCTGGAATACATGCCCCGAACCTTTCCAAGAAGCTTTCACAATCCTTGGTCTGAAGAATTTCTGAACTTTGGCCCGAATGGGTAAAAAGTTAATTCTCCCAAACAGAAGTCCTCCCTCTATCTGACTCTGGATTAGCCACCAAAGACAAGTCCTTGGGATAAAGACAATAAATTACCTTTTTATTCACTCTCCCCACCCCTTCCCTTCCAAAGGGGGAAATGGAGGGGAGGACCAGGGAGGGACCGGAGGAGGAGAGGTAGTCACAGGAACAAGCAGACGTCTAGCATGCAAGCAGTGCTCACCCCCACCACCTCGACCCGGTCTCCTCTTGCGGCAGCACCAGCCCCATTTGACAGATGGAGGAAAGGAGGCTCGGAGAGTTAAAATGGCTTGCTCTGGGGTCACCCAGCCAGAGAGTGGGGAAGGCGACTCCACTCAGGCCTTCTGACTCCAAGTCCAGTGCTATTTCGAGGTAACACACAGGACCTGGAGTCAGGAGCCCTGGGTGGCTCTGTCACCCGCTGGCTGCGTGGTCCTGGACAAGCCGCTCACCCCTCGCAGCCTCTCTCCCCAGCTGTAAAATGAGGAGGCACGCGATGGCCCGCCCAGGTCCTCTTCCGGCGGGGCTCTGTGAACCTTCTAGGGGTGGCTGCAAAGCTTCCCTATCAATTACATTTCCCAAGTTGGGCCGGCGAAGATCACCAGAGGAGCCTCGGCCCGTCACGTGGTCAAATAAAAAAAGCAAACGTCCCAGATTAACTTTCACTGTGCTGCTTCTGCTGACACCTGATTACCCAATTTTCTAGTATCCCTGGGTGAAATATCCCTGCCGGGGAGGCCCGCTGGGCGGCTAAAAGGACAAATAATGAATTATCGGTGAGCCCAAGAACCCCCAGTGATGGAGTTAAGAACCGGGGTGCAGACGGACGGGTTCTCGCTAGAGGGGTCCCCGGCCGAGTCTCCGGCTATCTCAGGCACCCCCAGACCAGGCCGAGGACAGAACTTTCCCAGGGGCACCTCGGTCCCGCCTGCACCCAGTCCCCCGGTCCCGGGCTGCCCGCAGGCCCGGGTCGGGCGTGGGGGTGGGGGTGGGGGTGCAGGGGGGAGGTGCGGGGGGGGCGCGCGGGGGGACGCAGCGGGGCGGCCGTGGCGCTGGGGCTGGGATCTGCCTTCCGAGCAGACGCGGGCGCGGGGCTGGCGACGGTGCCGGTGACCGCCGCGGGAGCTCCACCGCAGTTTCGTCAGAGGTGAAGGTACGCGCCCGGCGCGCGCGGCGTGTGCACACACACACACACACACACACACACCCGCGCGCAGCCCGCTCATCACACCCTCCCCGCCCCCCGCCCGAAGAACGCGCGGTCACACGCCGCCACCGGCCCTTCGGCCCCCGCCCCAAGCCACCCCAGCACGCCCGCCACCCACCACGAGGCCCCGCGGCTCCCCGCGCAGGGCTGTCTGCGGCGAGCGGGGCGGCCCTCCCCGGCGCGCGGCGGCCTCCTCTCCGCGACACCCGCCACGCCGCGCCGTCCCGGCCGCCTGCAGCCCGGCGTCTCGGCGGCCGCGTCCCCTCCGAGTCGCGGTCTCACGGCTCGGAGTCAGCTTGCGAGCCTCTCCCCGCCCACCCGGTCCCATGACAGCTGCTGCCGCCCAAAGACAGGCAGATTAGAACAAGAAGCAAAGTTTCCCTCTCTCTCCTCCCACCGCCCGCCCCCCCGCCTCCCCCTCCCTCCCAGTGTTATGCAAAACGAGCCGGCACCGGCGCTCCGACTCCAGGTACCGAACCAGCCCCCGCGAGCCGCGCCCGGTTCCGCCCGGCGGCCCCTCTCCGCGCCCAGCCGAGCGCCCGCATCCGGGGGCTCCTCCTGGCCTCCGCCGCATCCCCAGCCCCAAGCCCTAACTATGGGGCCAAACTTTACGCTCGCAACAGGCTTGGGGTGGGGAAAGCCTTGGAAGGGTGGGGGGCGCGCACGCCTAGCGCAGGCATTTTCGGTGGCGGCTCGTCCCAGCAGCACCCCCCCCGCCCCGTCTCCAAGTCACCAGCTCCCTCGAGCCCCCCCCCCCCGCCCCGGCACACCAGAGCACCCTCTCCTGTCACGCGCGTGTCGCCGGTGGGGCTCCCCGGCGCAGCCAGAGCCCGGGACGCCGCCTCGCGTTCCCTTCCCCCAGCATCGCCGAGCGCGCACCGGGGCCGCGCGCCGCAGGGGGACCCAGGCGCCCCCAGGCAGTCTTTCCACCCCCATCCTGCCGTGCTTTCCTCCCGAGGGGCTCCGCCGGTAGCGAAACCAGGAAGGTGCTGTCTCCGCCCGCATGCCCACGTGCCCCGCAGCCCCCTAAGCCCTCAGCCGGCAACTGGCAGGAAACTCCGCGCCGCCGGCGCCGCCGGGGAGCCGCGGGGGGCCAGCAGCAGCACGCGGGGCGCGGGAGACCCGAGGACCAAGGCACTCCGGGGACGGGGGCAGGCGCCGGAGCCGGGGCCCTAAGTCCACGTGAAAGTACGGCAGCAAGCGCCGGGAGTCCGAGGGCGCGCCTCCGACTCCCAGGGCCAGCCTGGGGGTCCCCCACACCTTGGCGCTGCTCCACCTCCCCGAGGAAACGCGGTACCCCCACCTCTGCCGGCAGGGGGGTGCGGACTCCCAGCGGCCGAGGCTGGACCCTCCCCGGCGGCCGTAGCGCCCCCACGCTCCGCACGGAGCTTGCACGGGGGGAGCCTCGGGCCCCCTGCCTCCGTGGCAGAGCGCATCGCGGGGCGCAAGGAAGGGGGGCTCTGCAGCCGGGAGCCCCCGTCCCCCCCGCTGCGCCCACCGCCGCCTCCCGGCCTCCGCGGCTGCGGCGCCGGCCCCCGCAGCTCCGCACCCCTGCCCCCGGGCCCGCGGCCCCTGCCGGCCGTACCTGCGCGTCGGCGAGATAGTTGAGGAAGAAGGAGGAGAGCTCTTCGTCCAGCAGCGCGCCGCAGTCGTTCCCCGCCATCTTCCAGCCGCGGCTGCAGCGTGCGGCGGAGTCAGCGCCGAGCCGGCCGGGGGGAGGGAGCGAGCGAGCGAGCGAGCGAGGGAGGCGGGAGGAGGGAGCGAGGCCGGCGGGAGGCGGAGGGCGGAGCTCGGGCCCGGGCTGCCGCAGGGCCGCTGGCTGCGGGGGCGGGGCCGCGCGGTGCCCGCGCGAGCCGGGGGTCGCGCCCCCGCCTCACTGCGCCACGTCTGGCTGCGCGGTCCTGCCCGGCAGCCCCCGGCCCGGAGGAGAGCGCCCGCGGCCGGGTGACGCTGCCCCAGCCCGGAGCCCGATGCCTGCGCAGCAATGCGGGCAGCCCCCCGCTCCTGCCCGAGCGAATCACGTTGCGTTAGCGCTGGGCGGGTCCTTTGAGAAAACCTGCTTCTGCTCTGCTGGGGAAACTGAGGCCCGGGAAGGCGGAGGACTTGGTTTGAATTCGCGGTGCATTTCAGCAGCAGGAAGACAAAGCTCAGGCCTGACTGGCCCCGAGGTTCCGTACCTGAGCTCCAAGACCAGAGAGAGAGGAATATCTTAGGGCAAAGGTGGAGAAATCCGGGCAGGCTCAAGGAGGGGGTGGCATGTTTTTCTTTTTTCTTTGAAGGATGCGTTGACCCATATTCTGTCAAGTTTGGCCATCACCCTCAAGTTTTCCTTCACCCCCCTACCACCACCACCACCACCACCACCACCACCACCACCACCACCACGGCTGCCCATAAACTTGAATGACTTCTCTTACTACCATGGCCCACAATGCTTAAGGTGGCCAGGCTCACGCAGGCTTCCCCAGGCCCCGCGGCTTCCCAGGTCCTTCCATGAACCATCTCACGAGGAGCTTCCACACACAGACTGGTGTCTCCTACCCAGTGGCCATTCATTCGCCCAGTAACCACATCTTCAGCGTGTCCTTTCCCACTGCCCCTCAGACTGTCCGCGGGATCCTTCTCCCCACCTCGCCCCACTGTCATGGGCTCTCCTAGCTCTGCAGGCCTTTCCTTGAAAACACTGGCCACAGCTGCCATTTTACATTTGTTCCAGGGAAGATTTGATCTTCGTGTGTCTTCTTAACTCTAAGACTCTAAGACCCAAGAGCTGAATCTTTTTTTTTTATTTTCATATTTGCTATGTCTCCGGTGCCTGGCACATAACAGATGCTTAATAAATAATGGGCCAACCAGAGGATTTGGATTCCCCACCACCACCACACATGGCACACATAAGAAAACTTCCCAGACTGCAGCCTTGAACTCTCACCATCATGCCCTGCTGTTTGTTTGCCAGACAGCAGATGAGGGCACCGCCTGAATAAAGGCGAAAAGGCGGGAAGATTTAGACCTGTTTCATTGGGCACGCCTGCCTCCTGCCCCCACCCCCCCACCCCCTGGCACTCTGGAGGGCTGCCCCACCCTGCCCACCCTGCGTGGGCTCCCTCCCAGCCAGAGGAGGAAACAGGGAGAGTCCTCAGTTCACCTGCTCAGACTTGAACACCAGAGCAAGAGCTTCCTTCTCCAGTCTGAGGTTCCCAGAACCGCAGGGCGTGATTTCACTCTTTGGGCTGTAGGCCAGAGCGCTTTTAAGGAACAATGAATCCCAACAGAGAGCCTACATCTAGCCTTGGAGCACTAGCCTGGGAGTCAGGAGTCCTGGGTCCTGGTCCAGCCGTGCTACATCTTGTCTCAGTATTGGGCAACTCAAGAAGTCCAGAGGAAGGGCCCCCTGGTCGGACTGCCCAATTCTGAACCCTTGCATGTAGTGTCAGGCCTCAATTTCCTCATCTACATCATGGGGATCGTAGAATTACTTACTTCATAGAGATGTTATGATGATGGAAGAGGTAATATATGTAAAGTGCTTGGCACAGTGCCCGACCTCATGAGAAAAATAGCTAAACTCTGGTCCTCTGTTTCCTCATCTGTAAAAATGAGGGTAACATACATGTTCCTTGAAGGACTTTCTTTTCCTTTCTTCCAGCACTCACAGGCTTCTGGCTGCCTTGGATTCCAGTAGATCTGGATTTGAATCTTGGTGCTCACAAATAATGTGCCTCTTGGTCCTTTGCTTAATGTCTCTGAGACACATTTCCTTCCCATAGGGTTCTTGTGAGGGTTGCATGAATCTGTGCACATAAACCAAATTGCTGGGCCCTGCACCTGTCAGATAGGAGGGTTCCTCCTCCCTCATCGTCATCACTATCAGCAAGGTCATCACCATTAGCACAAAGTGCTTTGCTCCTCCTGCCCATGGACCCCAGCAGGACAGTTTTCCAGAGATGTTCCTACCAGATCCAACATAGCCTGTGACTGGTGTTGAGGCCCTCATAGCTTAAAGGCCAGACCTGAAGAGTCCCCAAGGGCAGCCATCTCCCAGCTTTGGCCTTGCAGAGCTGCAGCACCAGGTAGGGCCTCTCAGGGAAGGCCTCGACAGTGCTCGCCCAAAGCAGCTTTAGTCTTTAAAACTCTAGTGTTGAAGGAAGAGCTGCAAATTAACCAGCTTCAAGGACCTCCTCACCAATCACCACCGCTTCCTCAGAATAGGCTTCTGGCTGGCAAGCAACTCGGGAGAAGGTACCTCACCTGAGATAATGTAATTTTCTTTTCAAAAGCACATTTCAAAATGCTTTCATCACAGGCCACCTACAGAGCTCAGCCTCTTCACCCTCTCTGGTCTGAGGAGGAAGTTGAGGTACTTCATTGAGAATAGAAGCTCTCCAGAGACCTAAGGCACTAGGTGATCTTGTGCAATTCGCTTGCCCTCTCTCAGGTTGTTTCCCTACCTTTAAAACAAAAGAGCTAAAGGATCCTCTACTGAACCCTCCGGCCCAAATAGGATGGCAATTTATAGATATTAGCCAAAACTGAGCTTTTCCATACTGCACATGTGCCAGACACCTGATTGTGTATCAGCTCAGATCATTTCCAACAGCCCTGAGGAGTTGACATTCTGATGTCCAGTTGACAACAGAGGAAACTGGAGCTTAGGAGAGATTGGAGTGATCAGCCCAAGAATAAGCAGTTAGAGACACAGCTGAGATTTGAACCCAAGCCTGCCTGGTCTGAGCTATAGACTCTTGAAAGGAATTTAAAAAAAAAAAACCTCACACCAGCCAACCACTCCCAAGAAGCTGGAACGGTGGCACATTTCTTATTTTATGACTTCTAAATGAAGGGCAATAATAATGCCAAACTTGGACTTCATGTGGCTCTCTCCTATCTGTTCTGCCTTTTTATTGGCCCTGCCTCTCCCGAGATTAGTGGAAGTTTGTCTTGTGCATACACCAGGCAAAGCCCTGACTCCTCCAGCCTCCACGGAAATAGCTACCGTAAAATGAACCTTTTTCATTTGAATATTATAGTCACTACTGACAAATGTTCAAAATTAAAAACATGAGCATTTCCTCCCTTCTGATGATAGAAGAATGCTTTATTCAGATGCTATGACCATGTCTCAAATTCTGGAGAGCATGACAGTCACCTGGGCTCTGTTACCAGAGATTATAATTCAGTAGGTCTGCAATGGACCCAGGAATCTTCATTTAGGAGGCTCCCCTGGATGGCTCTCCTACAAGAAACTGCCTATCATTCAACCAGTATTTACTGAGCACCTAATCAGTGAACACAATAGCTGCCATCCCGGCTTATATTCTATTCATGATCAGTGCCTAGTGACTTTTATTGAAAGAGTGAAGGCGCTAGGGCATAGGTCTTGATAATCACTGAGGTTTCCTGCCTGCCACCTACAACTCTGTGATTCTATAAGCCAGGCCAAGGAGTCAGAAACACACCTATTCCCCAGTTTCTGTCCAGGAGGCAGAAACTGGAGCCAAGAGGAACTAAAAAGGCACTTGCTTTGTATTGTTAATTCTGACAGCCATCTCCACCTTTCATTGAACGCAGAACTTTAGAACGGTGGCAGGGCAGTAGAGAGCATGTTATCTACCCGCCTCACTGTACAGGTAGGAGAATGCGGTCAAGGCCACCCAGCCCTTCAGTGGCAGAGCTGGGACTGGAAGCCAGGGCTTCCAGTGTGTGTCATGCTCAGGTGGCTTCTCCTCAGGGAAGAGCCTTTGGAAAGACCCCACCTAGATGGTGTCATCCTCAGGTCTCAGCGTTGGGGGGTGAGGGGTCTTTGACACTCAAATATCCATCATAAGCAAGGCATTTCTGGTGTTGGTCAATGCCGTCTTCTTCCTGAAGGGTTAGCCTATGAACCTGCAGTACATTTGGGGGCTACATTTAGCAGACCTCTCTTTCATATGCTACAGTGTTTAAAGGGCTTCTAGGTCACCCAGTGAGGGACATTAAACAGCCAAGGAAGGTATTGTCAGCTACTGCTGTCTCTCCCATATGCAAGGGCTACCTGCCTTTCTTTATAAGACTTTTATTTATTGAGAGAGAGACAGAGAGCAAGGGTTGGGGTGGGGGGAATAGAGGGAGAGGAAGAAGCAGGCTCCCCACTGAGCAGGGAGCCCAATATGAGGTTCCATCCCAGGACCTTGGAATCCCAGGACTCTGTAGAAGGCAGAAGAAGGCTATGTGGAAAACATATAGGGAAAATGTATATTAAGTGAAACAAGGCTATAAAAATGTTTATGAAATGATTATAGCTCTATGCATAAATGCACATGTAATGTACATATGTTAGAGTGACATAAGAAATCCAAACACATGAAACTGGATGAGGATGGAATCATGACCTGAGCCAAAAGCAGGCGCTTAACCCACTGAGCAGCCCAGGCATCCCAAAGGCTGTCTTTCATTCACCCTCCTTAGTCTTGTAAATGACCATGCATAGATCATGGGAAAGATGGATCAGAGGAGGGATAGAAAAGTGCTTCCTCCTCATCTGCCCATAGAGCAAAAAGATCCTTGTGCCCATTTGATAGATGTTGAAACAAAGGCTCATAAATGTGAGGGTTATTTTGATTTGTTTTGTTTTTGCAGAGGTGTAAATTCCACCAGGTTGTTATGTGTATACCAGAACAGCAGCATTTAAAGCAACAGTCACCCAACATTAAAGGGCACCATCTAAATTTAGGAACCCTATCAAATAAGGCAAGTAGATGGCAA